GGACTGAAGGAATTCACAAAAAACCAAACAGCTCCATAGCTCCATAGCTCCATAGCTCCATAGCCGTGGAAGAGGAGATGGTGGAAGAAGGGGGCCTAAATTTAAACATTTCCTCTTTGTCCTGTTTTGGGCCCATTGTCATCGCATGGCGTTTTCCCTTCTGCACAGGAAGGAGTGGATCTGACATCAACGCTCTCAGGCTGACAATGCCAGGAAGTCTGTCTGACTGTATGTAAATATCTCTATGTGTCCATGCTTCCCTTGCCTGCCCGAGCAGCCGCGCTCCTCTCCCTGGAGCGGCTTTGAGTACTTGAGGGTAGTAGTAGTAGTAGTAGTAGTAGTAGTAGTAGTAGCAAGATGGTGATTTACATGCTACACTGCCCCCGTAACTCATCCGCAACTGTCACTGTGAATTATAGCAACCTCATCTTCAAGTGACCTCTCCTCTTTAAGTAGCTTCCATAGCACAAGGTTTCATATGTAGACCCAATATGCTCTTTTTCTCAGTTTCTATATTTGTCTGTTTCTATTTGTCTATTTTGCCATTTGTCCTTTATGCTGTCATATTCCCTGAGAGTTTTGTGTTGCCTCGCTGTTTGTTGCTCTCCTTCACTTCCATTCCCTCTCTTCTTCCCTCCCTCCCTCCCCCCCTTACTCACTCACTTCCCTCAGAACCCCTCAGACTTCCTGTTGTCCCCTACCCGTCACAAAAGACATCCTGGCTCAAACGGGCCAAGTGTTTTAGCTCAGATCTGGCTTATGCCGACATAAAACCATTTAACTCCTCGTCTTTGGAAAAATAAATCCACCCAAACAACATTTTGTTTGAGTGACGGAAAGCATGAGAGGGGGTGGGGGGGGGGAGTGATGAATGGAGGGAGACAGATCAGAGATTTATAGACTCCCTACCAGCTGGGCCCTTGTCTGAAATGATAAGTTTTGTTGACGTTTGGCGAGCTGTGCACATACAGCACGTTTACATTGTCGCCTATTTACCGCAAGTTGAACACTAAGAACAGAGCTCTTTGAAATGATGTCATTGGCCACTCATTTTCAGAACAATCGACCTCTTCCTCCTCTTCCTATGACGCGGGCCCCACTGGTGGGTTTTGACGGAGATTACTGGAGACAAACACTTGCTGAGTTTAGGCCCGGCTGTAATTATTTCACCAGTCTTTGTCAAAGCAAGTTGAGTGAAAACAGGCTGCCGTGGAAAAGCCGGGCCAGACAGGGAGGCAGGGGGTGAGGTGGGGGTGAGGGCAGATGTGTTGTGATATCAAATGAAAGGCTTACCAAAAGCCTGGGAACTGGATTCAGGAGGTATCACTCGTGTGACAACAGCTGGGGGGTTCGGTCACAGTTGGTTTCCAGTGCAGGTGTTTGGGGACACTGATGCTAAAACAGTGCGTAGCTGCATGCGTGACGTTACTGGATGATCTTAAATGAGGAGATGCTGATGACGCTGTGTGTAATATATACTGTATATGACACCTTATGGCCTGGCGTGGCGAAGTGAACCGGCGCACTGCCACACACACAACATTTCTGCCCACGTCTGGTATGATTATGCCCATGTCGTTGCCTCCAGTGGAAGAAGAGAGTTTGAATTACACTGACATTCCTGACATTCTCTCTGCTCTGACCTGCATACTTCCTTGGCCTGGCTGCACATGGCACTATCCCTGAAACACACACGCACACACACACACACACACACACACACACATGCACACATTTGAGCCCCTTCCTTCACAGACACTTTGATCTTTTACTCCAATCAGTTTGGGATAATCAATCAGGTTGGGCGCTCGCACACACATGGCACACACATGGACGGCCGGAATGTTAACGTGTGTGAAGGGCCGACTGTTGTCGGTGATAGGAAGGTCCCACGAAACGACTTGTACCTATAGCAGCCATCTGAGAGGAAGAGAGGGATGTAAAGAGAGGGGAAGATCGGGAGGGACAGGACAGGGGGAGTGTGTGTGTGTGTGTGCAGCTTTCAGCTGGGGACTTTCGGCCATTATCAGGATGAATCTGAAAACAGGAAGGCGGGTTCCATTAAACAAGACGAGAGGAAGACGACCGCAGTTCTACTTCCTGTTTCAGAGCAAGGGAGGAAACTGCAGATTTTTTAGGAATTCAAATCAGAATCAACACTCCGGAAAGGACAAAATTATGAGCATTCGTGTGCTACAATTTGCTTTTTGTCAAACTTATATGAGGGTTTTTAGTGAAGCAGTTATTTATTTTTTTTATAAATTTATTTTGAACAAATGCTGCTGTCAAATGTGTGATCAGGCAGATGTTTATCATCCCAGTTCTGTATCTGTGTATCTGTGTGACTGTTTATCTGGCGCTATATCTTGCCACATTGGGCTGAGCTGGACTTGGCTCTGTTTGTGGGTCAGCATGCTGCAAGAGGAAAGCAGCCCAGCATACAAAACACCATTTCCGCTCATCTTCCACTTTGTCGGAAAGCAATGTTTCTGATCGGGGGGACCCAAGGGGACGGGGGGGCCAGAGGGAGGGATCGCAGGCAGCAGGGGAGGGGTATTTAACTGGGAAGAAGAGCATGAAGCATTCAGTTCATCATGTGTCTTCTCATCACAATGTGTCAGGATCGCTGAGCGGAGTGAAAGGGGTGAGATCCAAGGCGAGAGAGTAAACAATTATAACAGTGTGATTGATAGTAAACCGGCATTCCTCTCGCTGACTCGTCATTAAGAAGGTTCTTTTATAGTTGTCTATTTATTTTATCTCCTTGATGAATGTTGACCTCTGACCCCAATCCTTGTCTCTGGTCAGCGTCCTCTGCCCCCGGCTAGGTTGTGAAAATAGCGGCCTGGGCATCCCAGTTTTTAACGTATACGCAATAGGCACATTATTAGGCCTATCAATTATAGCTGGATATAATCCCTCCCTCCACCCATCTCTGTCCCTGTGTCCTCCGCTACAGCTCCTTTACTGTGTCCCAGTTAGAGGCGGAGAGCGAGCTTCCCATTCCTTTTACTGCACATCCTGTCTTATCTCCGAGAACGGAGCAAAAGAGGGAGTGACGCAGACATTTTGTGAAGTTTACATTTTGCTAGCAGCTATAACCAAATCTTTTCAGTCTCTCATAACCCTGACATCAATACTCTTTCTTAAAAACAGCCTCTGGAGATATTTATCTTGAATGGTTAAAGTTTTTTGCCAGTCTAAATGTATTTTTTTATGTCACTGCATGTTCGAGCTCGATACATTTTGTGTCTTTTCTTTGGTTGGCTTTGGTTTTTGTGTAATGTATAGTTTGTTTCATGACATGAATAAAACCAAACCCCTCCCTTCCATCCCAACAACCCACCGCCCTTTCAAACACACACACACACACACACACACACACACACACACACACACACACA